AAAAAAAAAAAAAAAAAAAAAAAAAAAAGGTGGAAAATGTTTTCCCACCAAATAGGTGGGAAAACAAAATCAAGTTTTTGTGCATCAAATGATTGTACCTAGAAAAATGTGGAAAATATTTTCCAGGAAAATGAAAAACTTATTTCCTTGGCTATCAAACATAGCCTAAGATCTTCTTCAAAAACTCCTTCAAGCAAATCAAAGGAATTATTCATTATGCTAAGCAACGGGACTCGTGTTGAGCAAGCAGAATCATGTGCTTTCTATTAAACAGTTGTCAATAGCCAATCTACAGACTGTAAAAAAAAAGGGGGCAGGAATTCTGAGCAAGAACCCACCAAAAATACAGAGATTTCTTTTTGATACATTGCTGTATGGTAAGTTCTAACAAGATCTCGTATTGAAATTGATAGTTTTTGTGACATTGACGCAAACCCTTTTCTGATTTTTCTTTTTTTCTTCTTGTTAGAAATGGTTTTCAGGAAAGTAGTGGGTTTGATGATGGGGTGTTTGGGCTTGTCAAAGCAGCCTACAAGACCTGCCCCTTGTGCTGAAAATAGTGAATCTCTGCAAATTGACCAAATAATTTGTAATTCCCCAAGGATCAGACTGAGTGATGGAAGGTTTTTGGCTTACAGGGAGAGAGGTGTCCCCAAGAACAAGTCCAACTATAGAGTTATTGTTGTTCATGGCTTTGGCAGCTCCAAAGAAATGAACTTTATGGCAACCCAAGTATACAAACTTTACTCTTTCTTCTGGATATTGACTTTGTTTTGATCTGAAGTATTTCGATTTTGTAGTCCATCTTTATTAGTTAGTCTTGATACTGAATTTGACAATTTTAGGCATACTTGTTGTGATCCAAAATGTGTTGAATCTGAAATCAACTTGCTTTCAAGAATTGAGTACGAAGATTCCATTGTGTTAGTGAAAGAAGTATAGATAATAAAATCCCATATGTTTTTATGACAATCATTGCGGTATGCTTGGTCGCAAGGATTGAATAGTATAGAATTACGGAGGTAAATAGGTTAAAATCTTGTATACTGTCTCGTAATGTGCACTTGGTGTCATTGACTTGATTTATGTCATTCTAATCTATTCCTTTATCTATATATGGAAAGTTCAAAGATCTTCCATCGAGTTGTTTTTGAATTTATCAATCTGCAAAATCTGTTCTTTTACTGTCCAAACAATTTGGAGGTTTTCATGATTTTTGATGCATGCTAGAATGTAAAGAATCAGAGAAATTCTTAGTGCACTTTTTGTGACTATAGAAATGTAATTGATTTCAATATGAAGCATATCCTTTTTTGCATTTTAGTTCAAATTGAAGCAGAAAATATGAACAATGCCTTTTTCTACCTCAATCATGCTAACTCTAAATAGTGTGTACAAGATACCGTATCAGATGACCTAATGCTGTTTACGTCATCAGGAAATTTTGGATGAGTTGAGTATATATCTTTTGCTATTTGATCGAGCTGGATATGGTGAAAGTGATCCAAATCCAAAAAGATCATTAAAAAGTGAGGCATCTGACATAGAGGAACTAGCCGATAAGTTACTATTAGGATCCAAATTCTACGTAGTTGGAGTCTCCCTTGGATGCTATCCAGCCTGGAGTTGCCTCAAGTGTATACCAAACAGGTCCATTAGAGATTTTCACCTCTTGGGTTTCAGTCAGGGTTAAAAATTTGCTGATTTATCTTTGCAATTATGTGTGTGCAGGCTAGCAGGTATTTCGCTTGTGGTTCCATATATAAATTATAAATGGCCATCTCTTCCTGCTGATTTGACTAAGGATGACTATAGGAGGGGGCTTTCCCGGTGGATGTATATAGTTGCACGCTATGCTCCTGGATTATTACATTGGTGGCTGACTCAGAAGTTGTTTCCATCATCTACTGTCCTTGACAGAAACCCTGCATTTTTTAGTAACAAAGACTTGGAGGTACTGAAGAACACACCTGGCTACCAATTGCTCAGTGAGGTAATACACTTCATGAAGGGGGAAAGCAAAAAATGTTTCAGCAATATTTTTAACAAATCTCAGCTCAATTAGAAGGCTTAAAATCTTAGGTTTTGATGTGAACTTTATTTTATCTTACAGAACAAGCTAAGGGAGCGAGGTGTGTTTGACTCACTACGCCGTGACTTTATGGTTGCTTTTGGAAAGTGGGATTTTGATCCCATGGATTTATGCAATCCATACCCTGAAATGGAAAGTTCAGTTCATATATGGCAAGGTTACGAGGACAAGGTCGTGCCATTTCAATTACAAAGATATGTCTGGAATAAACTACCTTGGATTAGATATCATGAAGTTCCTGATGGAGGCCATTTACTAGTTTATGATAGTGCAGTATGTGAAGCCATCTTGAGGTCTCTTTTAATTGGAGAAGATTTTCCTTTGTACAGACCTCAATAAGCCAATTCATTGTCTGTTCGTTCATTCTTTCTTGTCATCCATCGATGAACTTGTAAGTATTTTGATTAATTGTGTGTGAATATAGTGTGTGACATTTTATTTGTTTCAAGAAACTCAATTGTTCAAAGTCATGGATTTTAACTGCAGAATTGAAAACACTGCTGCAGCCTCTCTTGGACATGTTTGATTCTTGTTATTTCTATGCATTTTTATGAAATGCTCAAATAGGAAATCATCTTCATTGATTAACCAGAAAAAGTAGTACCAGTTTCACTTATTTCTGGGAACTGTTCGGTTAGATACTAATAAGAAGTAAGGAAGACTTACGGCAATGTCAATATTGAACCACCTCATTTAAAATCTTAATTTGAGATACATTTATTTATATAAAAAATCGGCACGCAACAATACTCATATTTTTATAGGCAATAAACACAGTGATCCATCCCTAATCACAAATCACAATTATTTGAGCTTAAATATTATCAGTTAAGGACCTGTTCATGCCGAATTATACATGCAGATGCATTGTATCAGTTAAGGGCTATTAGGTAATGTTTTACAGGTCCATATTAGGAGCAGAGGAGAAAATAAGCAAATGTATCGCTTACCGTTTTAGACTTCGGTTCACTTTTTTATAATTGCTTGCTTTTTTCTTTGCTAATTATTTTTCTAACATGATTTTCTTCTTCAATTTGAAAATCTTTCGTCTCCTTCATTTTGGAGTGAAGATTGAAAAACAATTTAGGATTTGTTTGGCGCTACTTTTGAAAAGTTAAAAGTTGCTTTTGAGATTAAAAAATTTATTTGAACATGTTTGAATAATTTTTGGAATTGTCTTATTTGACTAAAAGAGTTTTTAGAGGAACATGGTTTAGGGTAACTTTTTAGAAAGCTTTTTTACAAGAAGTAGAAACCTTGTAAAATGGACCTTAAGCCAACTTTGTCCTGAAGTTCTTTTAGTTAGACGAAACACTTTTATAAAATTATTCAAACGTGTTCAAAACCAACCTTTTACTTTTAAAAACAACTTTTAATTTTTGAAAAATCTTGTCAAATGAACTCGTAAATAAGTTCATCAATTATATTAAGCACATGTTTGTCTACCATTAATCTAAAACATTGTTTACTACAGTAAAATTCTCCACCACACATTCACTCAATAAAATATTTTACACATAAACCAATAAAGTTACTTTAAATTTCAACCTCACATTCTCCAAAAAATACTATTCATTACACCATAAAGTTGGGTTATTACCATCTGTTTGTGACTCTAAGTGTACATTCCATGGATTACATCATAGTGTACATTGTGCGCAAATACACAAAGTGCTGAACGGGAAAGTGTGTTGTTTTTAGAAACTGTTCAATCATGTGCCGACACATGGCACAATGTCAAAAATAATGTAAAATAAGATTTGTATGTATCATGATTGTTAATTTATTGAATAACAATTGCAATCAATTCAGTAACAAAAGTTGACTTGCCAGTTTAACTACCGAATTAGGTACTAACCCAGTGATCCACCTCTTCCATGGGTTAGTGCCAAGCTCGAATCTCAAAACTATGATCGTACATACTCCTCCAACTGAATTGTGTTAGTGGAGATCGATGATGTCTCCATAGCCACTTATAATGTACGAAATAAAGCTGCTATGGTCGAAATTTGACACTTTAAGTCGAGATATTTTCACATTTTATTAAATTTTGCTAAATTTTTTATAAGGATTTGATAAAAAACTTGACATAATTATATGGGCGGTAGATGATTGGATGACAAAGTGGACAATATTTTAAACTGTCAAATATAGAATGTCACGTAACATTATGTCAAATTTTATGTCAACCTTGATATTCATGTAACATTATTGTGCCAAACAACCCATAAATGTATAGGGTTTTGTCATATATACATCAAGGTTGAGACCCTGATGTATAGTCTCCCTACAATAGAGGGCTCACGCATTTTTTTATTAGATGTGGGCTCCCCCTCTTTTGTGAGGGGTGTACAAACCATATTTTGATCGATTGATGCTTGAAGTACTGGGAAAAATTTCAAAATTTCACAGGGCACTTATAGGCAAGACACAAGTGGGGCTCGCATAATTTTTTTTCTTTTTTTTAAACATATGTGGAGCTCACGCTACAGTGAGAACCCTGTAAAATACATGTGAAATATAACCCTGTACTTGGAGCAAAATTCATTTCGATCTGTCTATGTCAGATAACTTCACTTCCATGAATTCCACTCTTCCCTTTCGTCCTTTTTGCTCCTTTAATCTACCTAACAATGACTCCATTGGACAAAGACCCCACAATTAATACTTCCTCATTAATCTATTGTATCCATAGCACGCCAACTAAATTGTATTAGTAGTTAAATCAATAAAAAATTAGAAAAAATAAAGTAAAAGGTAATCTATTTATTATTTTGAAAATAACAAAAAAAGTACGACTTTCAAATAATAGTAGTCGAAGAAAAAGATGTTAGCGAGGTTCTCTTCTTGATCTTCAATTGTCTATACTTCGTAATTTCTTACCATGATTCGATTAATAATCTTTAGGTGCTTATAATTTGTAAACTAGCCATTATTATTAGTCTCATTATTTCATTTCTATAAATAATAATACTTAAAACAATATTTTAATAGAAATATTAAGATAGAACGGAGGACAATGAAAGATTTATGTAGCTTATCTTAAATTTATAAGAATAAAAAATATTTTTTGTTATTGTAGAATTTTTTTTAATGTTTAACATTAATTTGAATTATATTTACAAGATAACATTTTTATATAAAAGTACTTCAAAATAGTCCAAGAAAAAACTATCTCCTCTAAAGTATAACCTGGACAACCTCAATGCTCACGACAGCCAGAAGCCATTGATCTAACCAACCATCAAGTCTTCTGATGATCATGGTCAGAAATTTGAAAACTGGTTCCGTGAAGACAATACCATCTGCAAATCCGTACTCGTTTGGCAAGAATTATCATCAGCAATGAAATTCCTACAAACATTAATAATGCTGTTTATTACCTACATTGGAAATCTCTCAAAAATGAGCACGAGACCGTAAAAGTAGATCTTACTCTCTAGGATGAGATGCCCACAAGGAACTTAGGGTTCGTAATCGACCATAGTACTCTCCGATCACCAGAAAACATCGTGCTGCTTGTCTGATTGTCAATATGTGTCGCAGTTGATGAAGTATTTGTTGTCTTAAATGATCAGCCTATCCAAAATGCATAAAACTTTAACTCATAAATATAATGGATCTAGTATAATATTAAGCAACAACTATCAACAGAAAACTCTAGACAAAGATTCAAAGGGGTTGATAGTTCTAGCAAGGACTTTTAGTTTCATTAGGCTTGACTTTTCAAGTTACCATTTGACATAAATGGGTTTAGACGAAAACGCCATCAAGATAATACTAAACAATAATAAGAAAGAAAATGAGAATAATCTAGTCTAGTGTACCGTCTAGTCCTATACAGTATTCTATGTCAAACATACCCCGGGAATGTGATCAAATGATATTATGTAATAGCATCGCATTAGAAATGTGTTGAACCACTTCATTTAAATGCTTAAACGATTAGAGAGGAGAGAAATCTATTTATTACATATTCGACTTACTTGACGAACGAAACGTTCGAGACTGGTCAGCTTGCCAAATGCAACAGCCATGTGATGCATGCTATCATTAACAGAACCACTGGCTATGGTACTGATTAAAGATTGATGAAGTTGTTCCAATCCCTGGGAAAGAGCCTCTTCTGCCTGTTGTGAAGATTGTTGGAGGCTGTAAATCCCGACAACCTGGTGCTCAGTTAACGTGTCTAATTGTGCTATTAACATCTAACCAACAAAAAAGGGAACATAGGATCATATTAGTACAATGTCACAAAGGAAAAAAGACAGATTGAGAGGACCAAAAATCCTTTGAACCCAAACCTTAATTAGGTCAGAGGGGCGAAACCCGCCCATCCACAGAAAACAACGTTCAGCAGGCGTAGCCCACATCCCGGTGATGAGGTGAATGGCATCAGATAGAGCACCAACCTCTTTAAGGCAAAAAATCTCATCATAATGCGCAATGTATTTATCAACAATGATACGTAGATCACCATCTGATAAATGTGCCTGCAATGCGGTTTGAAGTTCAGACATATGCCTATGGTCATCATCTAACCATCTTGCATACTCCATGTCAAATAGTGCAGCACCTACAATATTAACAATTTATTCGATTATTATCTTAATAACATCAAAGAACTAATAGGGTCATGCAGACATGAAAGAAAAGGGGAAATGATTTTTTCTCCCCTGCGTGTTTTGCTAAACAAATTGAAGAATTAGTAGATGAATTAAGCTCCTTGTACATAGGATTTTTATAGGGATTTTACAGATGTACAAGTGTCAACACTGCATTAACTGGTTACCCAGTGTATTTTATCCAATAGTTAATTAAATCTTGACAGCTGGCAATCTGTCAAAGAAATTGTCAACCAGCGCAGGATTGTTTGTAGACATGAACATAGCAATGCAAAATCAGGGTAAAAATACATTGTAAGAATTTTTTTACACCGTCCAATGAATTTGACAAAGTTTGTCGAGCTATTCCTTTTCCCCAGACAATTACTAATAGACATCTATTAGTCAAATGAAGAATTATCAATGTTCCAACCAATCTGAAAGCTTAGCATTAATCAGATTTGAAATTTGACTAAGGCATGATTAACTTTCTTGAGATTCAAATTAAGGATGCTGTCCATTGTGAAAACTGTGGAACGTCAGGATTAAACCTGACTAAAAGAACTTAGTGGTGGTGGTCGGTCTCTCACTCCATCGCGGAAAAGTCTAGGTAATTAGTCTAAGAATTGCAGATTTTGACATTATGATCTACTTTTTTCAACTGGACCAAAATTGTAATCAAACAACTTAATGATTAAATTATTTAAGCATTTATTTCATCAACTACCCTTTCTAACCTGTTCAGATTGATACCTCTACTGATCATGTAAAAAAAATGTTTATTCAGCTAAATATAATCTTCAACACACCCTCTTAGGGGAGGGTCGATTTATTTTTTTAATCAAATAATGACACCCGATTAAATATTCACCAGAGAGAGAGAGAGAGAGAGAGGCCAAAAAAAAAATCAAAGGAGGACCTGCTTACCAGAGCTGATGTTCCCACCTGCAACACCTCCTCCTATAATAAATCCCTGTTGAAGCATAGAAAATTAGGGGGCAGGGGGAGAAGAAGCCAAAAGTGAGAACTTGAACCATTAATGCACGGACATTAAATTCATTTCATCATTTTTCAAACTTCTTAATTGTTTCTTAAATGAAATATATTATTAACCTGTGAACTTGCCCTCTGAAGGTCCTGCTCTAGCTGAGCCAGCCTGATCCTACTTGATTCTAGCTGCTGTATATATGCCTGCACAACAACATATACATACATAAAATAGAGGACATATTTGGTGGTCAATTTTTTTTTAAAAAATATCGTTTGAATAATGAATTTTTTAAGAATGTGCAGTTAAAAAGTAGGAAAAAGTTTTGAGTTTATGTATAAAATATTTTATTGTGTGAATATGTGATTGAAAATGGATATACAGAAAAAAGAGTTTTAAAATAACGGGAAACAAACAAAGCTGATATCTCTGCTCATTTTTTCACACATGCAGCACAAGTTACATACATAATTAAAATTGTAAGGCAAAATAATTGGCACACACCTTTTTTCTGAGCCTGCTCTTTTTTGCTGCTTCCCTATTTTGAGCTAAACGTCTTAATGTCTGTAATCAGTGAACAAATCATCAGCTTAAAGGGGAAACAACTGTTCTTGAAGCAATTGTTTATTGCAATAACAAAAGAGTAATGATATTCATAATGAAGACAACTGGTAGTCGTCATACATGACATACAAACGACAATTTGATATTTGATATTAGTTTTTTATTGCCTCTGCATCAAATAACAAACTGTTTTATGTATGTAACGTATAACAACTATTGATAGTGTTCACTGTGAAAAACATTATTCATAAAAAAATGTTCAAAAACAAAATTTACAAACGTGCATGCATGAGCATAATGTGAATGAATAAATCACCTTAGCATCTAAAACTTTATCTGAATTAGAACCAGCTCCCCTTCTCTGCATAATTTGAAAAGATAATGAAAAATGGTTGATCAGCCAGAAAATAAGCTCAATAAATATATAACTTATGAGTCGACGAGTAAATTATTATTTTTATGCTTTTCTCAATTCTTCTTTTTTATTTTTTGGATTTTACTGGAAGAGATGAAGGTAAGCAACAGCAGAATCTTTTGAAAGATTTCATGACTTTTTACTAATACAATTGTAACTATTACCAAATATGAGGCTTTTTTTCACAATTCTGATAGGATTTGTAAATTGTTCTTGAAAATAATGATGAAATGATTTGACTACTCAATGTGTATCTCATCAGGCATTCTTCTAAAATTGGATCACAAAAACCCAGAAAAAATTAATGCAAATGGCCTAAAAATACAAGGGATTAATCTACAGTTTTGGGATTGCAAAAAGGTAGTCATCATTAACAAGGACTTAAACAGTTAAACTCGAGTTTCATAGATAAAGGCCTAAAAACAAAAGGGATTAATCCACTGTTCTTGGGACTTGTATAAATATACACACACACCTTTGGTGGAGTTGGTTTGGCTTCTAGTTGAGACTGTGTAAGTCCTGTTGTAGGGTTGTCACTTGAACTGGCCATCTCCATTTGTGGCTGAGTTTCTGGTGGTTGCGGTGGCTGAAGACGGTGGCCGGTGGTGGTGGTGGTGGTGTCTCCTCTACTTGCAAGTGTATTCAGTGCTGAGTCTGATTCGGCGCTGTCTTCTCCAGAATTTGATCTTCCCTTTATTAATGATACAAATCACCAAAGAAAATGAGTCAAAAAATGATTTCATCATTATCACCGAAAAGAATTAAAAATAAACAAAACACAACAATTTTTTTTTCCTAGAAAAATTCAAGTAACCTCAAAAGAACCCAGAAATAAGTGTCATGACTTGAAGAAGAGAAGTTTAAGAGAAACTTTTCTTCAACAGATAAGAGAGTTTAAGACTTTAAAGAAGACGTATAAATACAAAAGATTACTCTTGGGGGGTGATGGAATTTCATAGGCCAAGAAGGGAACATTTCAAGAGTTGCTGCACGCTGCCTGACTGTGTAAAAAGCTGCAAAAAAATCACAAAAGCAAAAATCTTTGAGGATCTGAAGGGAATTAAATACAGACTAGTAAAAGGGTGAAAACTAATCTCCCTTTTGTTCTTCTCTTTTTTTTCCTCAGCAGTTACGGAGTCAGTAAAATCATGCAAAAGGGTAAGTTTCCTTTTATGAAACTTGACGTTATTCAAATCTCTCGACCAAGAATGATTTTTGTGTTAGAAATGGTAAGCATCGTTTCTGTGGCTCTGTAGACGTATTCAAACCCCTACCTACCCCCACGCCACACCGTCAGAAAATGGAGAGAGGGAATTGCGTACTTTGTTTTGCTTCATCATTATTTATCTTAACTCTTTGCAGGCCAATAGTCCCCTCTGGCTCCTCAAAATCAAAAGCAGATCCTTCTTCATTTCTGTGACGAGGAAGGGGAAAAAAATTAAAATCCCATGTCAGAAATGAAAAAATAATATATATATATTTTTTGTATTCTGAGCAATATACAAGAAGCTTGTATTAGGAGGAAGATGAAGCGTGTGAGGAACAGCATATGAAATATCTTGATGCTGTGAGGGCCCCAAATCTGATAAAACATGCTGTCCAACTCTATGACTTGCCATGCAAAATTCTCTTTCACACCAGTTTTCAGCAGAAGAAACTGCAGTGCCCAAAAGAACGATATGAAGAATGCTTGCTGGGATATTTTTTATTTGTTCACATCAGTTTGTACAAGGGTAGTTCTGCAGAGAAAGTCCACTTTCTAGTCCAAAAACTATACTTTGAAAGGTGGGGTGGAGTTGGTGAGGAGGGGGACTTGAGAAAGAACAAGAAAGATCAAAGCTTTCTTGTCAAATTAAAGTTATATGTAGTCTCCAGTTTTTTTCTCTCAATGGTACACAAAATCTTATCCTTACAAAGCTCTGAGAGGACATCGGGCTTTGTGGGGTTTGCAAACCAAAAACTAAAAGGGAAAAAAAAACTATAACATCAAACAATTAAACTACTTGTATATTTATGATTGACATCTTGGATGGCATTCTCTATGTGTAAAATATCTAACCATTAATTAGAAGGAATATTGTTAAAATTAATGTACAAAAATCTATCAACACACACAATGTCATCCATAATGTCAAACTTAATGTACACCAAGAAAAACTGAATATCAAATCAGCACAAATTAATTTGTACATAAAAATAGGTAGAAAACCACTAGAATCAGTGCCTCCTACTCCACTCTCTCGGTCTCTTTAATCGCCTATGTTATATTATTGGTCCCTTTCGTGGGGATCTTTAGAATTTGAAGTATGAAAAGAATAATGTTGTTTATAGTCGCGATCGTCGGTAGTTATTCTATGTGGTAGCTTGTTATTTGAGTCATTAGCTTGTCATCCATTAATGCATCAAATAACAAGTTGTTACGTATGGTGATTACTTACAGTCGTTGATTATGAATAGCATTACAAATAAAGATTCAAGATTTTAAAGGTGATTTTCTTGATTGAGTTTACTTTTGAGTGAATAAGTATTCAACAACTCAAGTCTTTATAAAGATATATATTATTGCACTATGAAACAACCACCAATAAGAAACCCCACTTGTGCGTATTATTAATCCAGGCATCGATATGGATTTGTTTGGTACTACCTGCTTTGTTGATGGGTCAGCATCCATTCCTTGTCATCCCCTATAGCCGTGCCACATCAAGATTCTTTTTCCCTACAAAGTTTGGCACGGGATGGTCTCAAGTTTATAAAGAAATTGAGTTAATTTTTTTTAAAAATGAAAGCCTCTTATTATAATTTGTAAAAAAATTAAACTTTAATTTCTCAATAATGGTTGAGGGATCCATGATCTCTTGCCTGGAGATGTGCAAATATTTTATGTTTTTGTGTATTACCTAAATATGTTCTCTACCAATTATTCTCCTTCCTACAATTAATGATTGGCTTTGAATAGTTTAATTTGGTAAGAGAGAAACAAATGGCACATAGGTATTCATGCATCTGAGTTTGAATCAATGTATAACAAGCAGAATCTATTCCATGTTGGAAAATGTGCAAGATTTATAGAGAAAAAGGGGTTCCTGAGATCTAGTATTCTTTGAAATCTGTACTACTTTATAATGAGTGCAGGTACAAATTTCTTGATCAGAATTGATTGAAAAAATAGAATAATGCTACATGTATATTATGGTACACATAATGATGTTCATTATGTACATATGGCGCCTTCCTACTGGGGGGAGTGCCCGTGGGCCAGGTGCTCCCCCCAATAGGGGGACGCCACATGTACATTATGGACACCATTATGTGTATCATAATGTACATGTAGCATAACCCGAAAAAATAACATTTAAATCAACCATTTTAAAAATAAATTTTTAAATCATTTGAAATCAATTGTCTGAATTTCATCAATACATTTTGTAACCTAACTTTTATAACTCAACTTTGTACAAATAATTTTTTTGAAAAAAAAAGGTACTGACGTGGCAACACCATATTATTCGTATGTTTGTCCATTTTTTTTCTTTCAATGAAGACGTGACAAGTGTATTTTCTGTACATTTTTCCTGTACTCATAGACTGATTATTATAATGAATAGTTTGAGTGCTTTTGTCTCTTGAAAATTTAATGGTCTAGATCACATCCAAAGCTATATATATGGAGTCCAACAATCTGGTTTATACTTTATATAAGCTTAGTGCATTATTTTTCAATTAAAAGGAGCTAAAGAATATAATATTATCTAAACATTGTGTATATTAAAGAAAGATTACTGATTATTACACGCAACGTATGTTAAATGGGTTACAATTGTACACAAGACTTTTTTTTTTTCTTTTTTCTCACAAATCAATTAGACAATATCACATACATTCACGATATCAAAGACGACACTACTCACATTTTAAAAATCAGATCAACCTCCCTTATTTTTAGTTTTGAGTATCGCAGTCGCCCCTTTTTAAAACGTATCTCGTCTAAAATAATGTTGAAGTTAACAAAAATGCCCTTGGGAAGAAAAAAAAAAATAAAATTTTCTATTAAGTTTTATTTATTGATGGGATCGATTTAAATTGGGATAATATCAAACTTAGTGGTTCATTGGTTGTTAATTACGGAAAAAGACAGTTTTAATTTTGATTAATTAAAGTATTACTATTTTTTAGCTAAACTTTTTACTTGAATTGTAAAAGGCTAATATTTATATTTAACATCTTATTATAGTTTATGAATTTCTAAATATGAAATTTTATTGAAAAGTTTGCAGTTGTTAACATTTAAATTATATAATTAAATTTTAATTCATTTATAAAACCGAATTCTTCATCTAATTTTTAGTTGAAATTTCTATTAGTATGCATATTCAAAAAAAAAAATCTTTAAAATATTAACACATTATTAAAATGAAGAAATTAAATTGTAATTAATATTAGAAAAAATTATCTTCACGAGGACTTTTTAGGTATATCGACCTAATTTTATATGAAGATACGACTCAAAAAGTGGTCACGGGATGAGTGTAATACTCAAACTTAGAAATATGAGAGTTAAGTGGATTTTTTTAAAACGTGAGGGGTGCCTCTGATATTATATTTGTGTTGTTATTGTCCAACTTATCTTATCGAACGTTTAGATAAGTTCGATATCTATGTTGAATTGAAGAAAGTAGTCGCAAAATGTCCATATTGTTCAAAATCTCTAATCCTTTTTGTATGCAATTTGTTCATTTTGGAATAAATAATTTCATCAATGCTTATTATTGCTTTCTTGACAATTAAAGTCCTTTCTTTAATGTAATAATAATTATAGTCAACTTTCAGAAATTTATTCCAAATTGGTGCTTCTTGATAAGTGATTAATCAAGAATTCAAATATCTTGAATAGGTATCCCAAGTCAATAGGATGGAAATTATGTTTTCTCAATGTCCAATTGCAAATTAATAATTGAAATTTGTAGCAATGGTTCATGCATTGATGGTTTGACAATATGCTCAGCTAAAAATATTAATTTCTTGAACTACATCTTATTTATCTTATCAATTTATTATAAAGAAATCGAGATTGTGAAATAAATATTTATTATAAACAGAGAGAAAAATAGAAGAGAATAGAGAGAATCAAAAGTCTTGTTTATATTTTATTAAAAATCAAACTCAATACGTATAGGTTATAATCAATGTTCTAAAATGCGTAATGCGTAGCGAAGCGTCGAGGCCGAGAATCAAGAATCANGTGTCAATGCGAAGAATAAGCGTCATAATACGTTCCGTATTTTTAAGGCATTAAATATATTTTTATATAAAAAAATAGATTTTTTAATATAAAAAAAACAGATTTAAAAAAAAAAAAAAAAGGATTAGACGGACTAATGCGCGCCTAGTTGCGCCTAGGCGCGCATTAGGCGCGCCTTTTAGTTGGAAAACACATTTTTCCCGCATTTCTCGAATTCGACGCGTTTTGGTCGCGCGTCGCGCCTAGGCGGCGTATTTTGCCGTTTTTTAGAACAATGGTTATAATTAGGATTGCATTTATACAAGGATTAATCAGTTTACAACACGTCTCCTTAAATAACTACTTACATAACAATTGCCTTGTTAAAAACCTTATTTGGTAAAAATCAAAAGTGACAAAATACCAATGAAGGGAAAAAGAATGCAAAGAATTTGGAGCATCAAATGATGTCTTGTTAAAACTTTGTTAGGAAAATCCAATGTAACAAAATCAATTAAGTAATTTGAAAATAATAACATGCAACCACAATCACAAGAATTTAATAAAAAAAACAACAACAATTTATTGAATTAAATAATGAATGTGGTTTCATAAAAAACCTAACGACGGAAAGTTTAGTTTATCATGTTTTGATCAATACAAGATAAATAATGAATAGATAACCTAGATGATAAAGAGAATATGGATTCAACTTTAATCTTGAATCTCTTCAATAATTGTAGACGGCACGTTATTTCTCTTCAAAAATATCCAAGTCTCCGAAGGATTTGTTGTAATTTTACTACTATTGTACTGTTGTAATTTATGACTCATATAAAGTGGAATATATATTTATTAGTATAAATAGGTCGATGTTGGAGCGTATTGTAGCGCTCCCCCGCGATACAATATATGGGTAATTTTTTTGTTTCACTCTTTAATTTTGTATGTACTCTAAAGTCTTATATAAGCTGAAGTTAGAGTTATGACATATAAATGATGTAACTCTATTATTCATATATAATAAAAATTATAGCCGCGTTGCTCCTGCGAACGTAGACACAATGTCGAAACACTTATAATTAAATTTGTGTTATTATTTATTTGTCGATTTCATATTCTTTGTCGATATTAAGGGCCCGTTTGATTCTCCTTATTTATAGAATGAGAATGAAAATATAGTCGTTATTGGGCCCCACACAAGAGATGAAAATTTAAAATTGATGGCTTGATGTGATGGATAACTGTCATATTTTTCATTTTTATGGATGTAAAATGAGAAACAAATGGGGGCTAAATCACAACCACCACCAAGAATCCATGTTTAATGGTATGGAAATCCCCCTTCAATGATTTTACATTGCGTGGAATCCCCTCTATTTGACCAGGTTTAAGCCTATTTGTAGTCTCCAAAGGGTCTAGAAATTGTGCCATTGAATTAACTAAAAGGGTAAAAATATTTGTACATAATTTCATGTACCAAATTGTTTACCCTCTCTCACATGTACACGGGCCCCATATGAATAAAAAAATCACAAGATGTGGTCCCTACTCTTCTATTGTGAGTAGTCGATAAGGAATTATGTAAAAAAATTCGGTACATATAGCATGGTCCTAACCAAAATATCCTTGGTTGAAAAAACATAAAATCCAGGCCTGAATCGGCCAACGATTTTTTCGAATTTGCACTCCGGTTCCATCTTTTGATTTCTTCCACGTAAGTCCAACAATTTGAGTTCATCCATTTTGTCCTCAAACTTTACAAAATGTTCAATTTGATCCTCAAAATTAATGAAATCTTCCAATAAACTATCCAAGATGTCCAATTGAGCACCAAAGTCATCCATCACCATCTTTTTGTCCAATTAAAGCTTCAAATCACTTTTTTTTTGTTTAATTAATTTTCAAATTGAGGATTTAACCTATAAAGATAAAATACAATATAAAGTGAGAAGAAATCCATTCGAATAATTCAAATTAAACATTATTTTAGGACCTAAATAAGCGTGTAAAACATGTCATTAATCATTTTTCCGTTCACTATATAGCATAAATGTGGCCGAGCACAATATCTTGAATTACAAGCTGAATGAAATCAATTCCTTTTTAGATATCAAACTCTACGAATAGAGAATTTCAACGGCATCAAGCGAAGAATCTTTGTTTCAGAAGCCTTCTTCTCAAAAAAATTTTGGACTCGAGAAAGGACAATGGACTACAGCATGTGGACTGATAGTAGTCAAAGTGGAACTCTATGGACCATTTTTTTTCTTGAGAAGAAGCTATGGGACTTGAAGGGGGGGCGTAATAACGAAAATTAAAACGCATGAGAAGAAAGAACAAAAACTAAGGAATTAATTCAATTAGGCCTGGAAACACTAATTCTATGCACTTCATCGTATCGAACATGTCAACAGTCAAGTAATGAGAAAATACTGCAAAATCTGGTAAAG